CCTTTGGAATCCGACCATCAGCCATTCTCACAACGTGCCCAAGACAGCGTAGACGTCGCTGTTTCAGTAATGTATGCATGCTGAAAATTCCAGCTCGTTCTAGGACTACTCTATTTGGAACTCTGTCCTGCCAGGTGATACCAAAAATCCGTCGGAGGCAACGCATATGGAAGGTGTTCAGCTTCCTCTCCTGCCGGGCACAAAGTGTCCAGGACTCACTGCAGTACAGGAGTGTGCTCAGGACACAGGCTCTATAGACCTGGATCTTGGTATGTGTTGTCAGTTTCTTATTGAGCCATACTCTCTTTGTGAGTCTAGAGAACATGGTAGCTGCTTTCCCAATGCGTTTGTCCAGCTCGACATCTAGAGAGAGGTCAGCTTCCTCTCCTGCCGGGCACAAAGTGTCCAGGACTCACTGCAGTACAGGAGTGTGCTCAGGACACAGGCTCTATAGACCTGGATCTTGGTATGTGTTGTCAGTTTCTTATTGAGCCATACTCTCTTTGTGAGTCTAGAGAACATGGTAGCTGCTTTCCCAATGCGTTTATCCAGCTCGACATCTAGAGAGAGGGTGTCAGAGATGGTTGAGCCAAGATACACTGGCCACTGGCCTAGAGTGTAATGATAATGGCTAGTGATGTAGATTTCTTTACAAAATGTGGGCAGTGCTGGAGAAATGAATCCCATCAACCTTATAAGACTCCTGAGGATTGTAGTGAATTGAATTATGTACATGGGCAACATAGACTCTCCTTCCGTTGACATGGCTAGTGAATGTTTGTGGCTGATGTTCCATTGTACTAGATTAGTACCTGCTGGGGCAGTAACCCAGACCATATCATTAACTTTCTGGCCAGCCGGGGTGGGCCAAAAAAATATTCTCACTTCTTACTATTTTGTGGGGTTTTCCCCCCTGCATATCATCTGTTCATTTCCTTCCCTCTTTTTGTCCTGACTGAATCCTATTTATTCTGGAGGAAGTTTGGCCTGTAGAGAAAAGCTTTCCTAGAGAATCGCAAAGTTTGACATTCCTATGTCCTTATGCAAACATTGTTGTCACTTTAGCTTCTCTAGGCTAGTGGTTCTCAAACTGGGGTCCTCAGATGTTCTTGAACTACAGTTCCCAGAAGCCTTCACCACTTGCTGTGATGGCCAAGATTTCTGGGAGTTGGAAGTCCAAGAGCATCTGGGGACCCCAGTTTGAGAACCACAGCTCTAGGACAGGGTTAAGGTTATGACTTAGGGAGCCAGGGGGACTGGCCTTGGAGGTATTTAATTAGCTAGCCTTTACATATTCTTCTCCTTCCTTCTGCTGCAGAAATATTTTATTACCTGTTCACTTTTGTAGGAGTAACTAATTTCACCATTTAGCTCTCAGATTCAAGGGCTAATTTGTGGTCCCTTTGGAATAAAGTGGAATAAACTGTTTGCCACACCATGTTTCGTGCCGTACTAAATATCTTTCACAACCATGGCAAGCACACAAATTTGATTTTGAAGTGACAAAGGACAAGAAAGAATTTTGCGGGAGGAATTCTCAGAAAGGAAGGAGATAAATTTGTAGCTGAGACACGTGGAACCAAACGCAAACTGACAAAGACTTCCATTAGCTCAAATAAAAATTCCCATCCCAGCAGCTCCTGATTCTCTGTAACTCTGTAAAGCTGGCTGAGCTCCTTGTTTTTTGGAAGTCTCAGGCTGTTCTTTTGTAGGTCCATTCATTAGGGCTGTATTAACCCATGGCCAGGCCCCTGGGCTTTCATGTATTTCAGGCCCCCTCTGGCATTTCAGTCTTTCCCTCCACTACAGCTGACAGCCTGACCTTAGTTAATCTACGGGGCCGCTAGTCCCTGCAGGGCCCCTAGGCTTCAGCCTAGTCAGCCCAGCCACTTGTAGAACCTGAAACAGCTGGCCACTACACCTATGGAGCTGAATGGAAAACCGATAATTCTGCATGCCATGTCTGCTGAGCTCTGGAGGGTGCCTTGTTGGGACAAACTGCCCTATTCCCCTCAGAAGCAGACACGGTTTGTCCTTGGAACTCTCAACATGGGAGGACATGGAAGCCCCTGCAGTCTGTTGCATCCGGAAGCAATGCCCCTTGACCAGTTCATTGTGCTCCTGCTTGACCACCAGTCTTTGGGGTCCTCAGGAACAAGAACGAGGCTGATGCCATTTCTGCAGTTCAGTTCCCCACTCTGCATCCCAGAACAGCCTGTCTATGTAGCCTTGGGCAAGCTGCACAGTCCCAGGGTGTCTCCAGAAAAAGGGATGGTAAACCAGTTCGGAAAACTCTCTGCCTAGAAAACCCTGAAAAGGGTCACTGTAAGACAGAATTGACTTGATAGCACACCATTATTATTATTAATACCCTTCCTTTCCTGCTGTTCCTACTTTAACAATACTTCGGAGTATCAATTTAATTTGTTTCCACTTTGAACCACTACACTATTCAGAGGCAATTAAGTGGGCCACCATTTCTCCTCAGGGCCCAAATAACCAAGGTTTCCTAAGGTTAGCAGAGAAGCCTTTTGTCCTTGGCAGGGCCTCAAGAGTTTTGATGTTGTCACAAGATTTCAACAAGGACGGAGAGATAAAGGCTCTTGTAGTAGGGAGTACTGAGTTGGGGCTCAGCTTGCAATTATTCTAGAAATTATTAATTGCGGGAGGGGGGTTGTATTCTAGAGTCGTCAGTGGCTCAACTAGTGATGAACTGAACAGATGTTCCTAGTTATTACTTGCATGGGAGACCATGAGAGAATACCAGGCATCTCATGGTAGTACTAAGCAAGAACCTTTCCTGAAATTCTGGAAAGCTGCTGCTAGTCAGAGTTGGCAGTACTGGGATAGATGAACCAATGGCTTGGTAGTAGTTCAGCTTCCTGCAGTTCAGACTTCTAAATGAAGAGCAGAATAATAAGTATGAATAATAGTATTAATAATTGTTCCGCTCCATAGTAGGCACTAAACTCCCAATTAAGCTGAATTAGCGTTTACATTTTTCATGGGGAAACTGGAAAGGAAATAATTTACATGCTTTTCCCTTCTCAGGAAGGCCATCTTTAATAGCTTTTAAATTATTGCCATTTGCTATGCCGCTAAAGTATATGAATGAATGAAGTTAGATAAAAATGTCATTACTCTTCCATTTTGGTACCTGTATCAGATAAATATAATTGCATAGGTTTATCATGATAGAGACTGTTTCATCATAATTTAAATAAAAACACTCTTTTTTTAAAAAAAGGAAGGGCATTTAAAATGTTCTGTATCTACTTTGGACTGTATTTTCTGGTTTATCTTTGCCTTATCAAGAACTGCACATGTGTGTTAACAATAGTTTGTTTTATTAGGTTAGAAACATATTTTGGAACTAAACTTTTAATAACTGATAACTGTAAAGAAGAGTGCTAAAATGATGCGACTAAGCTTTTGTGGAAAGAATCCTTTTCCTTATTTTGGCTTATCCTATTCCTAGATAGGAAGCCTCAGGCTACAAAGCATGAGGGAGGTGTCCAGCAGCAAATGTAAAATATTAAAAATTGAGATAAATGCTTAGAAAACATAAGGAATTCATGCATTATAAAGCATCAGGATATGTGCTGCTTATAGATTTGACCCTGGTAACAAAGCAACACTGTGATTTTCATGTATTATTTTGGTATTTGAGATAACTACCATTCATACCTCTGTATTGTGACATTTTTTTTTTGAAAATTGATGTTTCGGATTTTTTGTACCAAATGTTGGAGGTGACACTTGGGCAGAGCAACTGTACATTGTAGTTGAGGATGTTGAGTTTCAGTTTACCTTAAAGACTAACTGCTATATTTTAATGTGAGCTTTCATGGATAAGTTCCACTTCCTATCCCTACAGCAGTTAGCCTTTAAAGTGCCACAGTGTTTTTGTCATCTTTATTTTTATTTTCCTTTTGTTTTTGCCTGATGTGAAGAACCATCCAGAGAGAATTTTTGATGGGTGGTGAAAAAGAAGGGAAGGTAACAATGGGCATGTCTGTCAGATACAAATTGATATCACTGGTAAGATTTTATTTCACTGCTATTAAACAATTCCAACATTCAGGAGCATACATTTTATTGCTATCTAGACCTAAGCAAGCTATAGAAACAGTGGTCAAGAAACTAATAACAATCATGGGTGCCCATGTGTCTAAAGAAAACTGGGATGTCTCTGACTCCAAAGTCATTTTGCACTGGAAAAATAAGCACTGAGCACGTCCTGAACATTCCAGTTAGATAGGCAACAGACTTTTGTTATGAACTATATTGTGATAGAAACTCTTTAACTTGGTCTTGGGGCCAAATTCAAATTCTAATCTCCCTTCAGGCATGGGTGCTCTCCTGCTACAACAGAAAGACCAGCACTTTCCCCCTCAGCAACAGTAAAGACTAGTATTTTGCTTAGAATGATTACATTTTGTGTAAAAAAACAAGACTTTTTTGTGCAAAATAGAAAACCACTATTTTAGCAAAAACACCTCTGTACTGTTGTTGTTTTTTGCAGAAAAATGCTGAAGTGTGGAAAATGTAGTAAAACTCTAACATTCTTGCCAAATAGGGAGGAAACCTTTGAATTATTTTGTTTTCACTTGTGAGGACAAAATAAGCAAAGATTTACATCCCAATGTCTCATTGTATGTACTGTATACAGAGGGAGAACAACACACATCTCATGGTATCTTTGTGCAGTAAATGGTTTCTTCTCCAGTATGTAAGTGATAATTAAAGTAACACTGGGTGGGGAATTCTGGGACTTGTAGTGTAACTTTTCCAAACTTTGTTCATGGCATGGTCTTTGTAAGTGACTTATTTCAAAGACTGACTGGTAAGTAGTTTTCTTTCATGTTTTCTTCTTTCTGTTTTAGGAATAGTGGAGTAAACTGGATTGAACTCCATGAAGTATGTTTCTAAGGGACAGCTGGTTTTGCGCTCACTGGGCATGGCGGAGCACAGGAAGCTGCCTAGTCATGCTTGCTCTCCTGTTATTGCACACATCCAGTCTGGAAGGCCGAAAAGCACATCAGTTTGTCTGGAAAACAGGTAGGGATGGATGTTTTCTTCTCTATTTAAACTCCATTCTGTGCACTTGGATCCGGTGGAGGTTCCAGTGGGTTTTATTCTGTCTCTTCAAAAGAACGTTCAAGCTGTTCTTCAGAGTATAGGGTGAAGTAATTAAATACTTCTTTCAAGTGTAAAACTCCAGATAAGAAACGAGCAGAGCAGAAGGTAGGATTCTTCTTGACCCATATGCTATGCTTTCTGGTCTCCCTCACTTTCCCTAGTAGGGGTGGAGACCCATCTCCCCAAAACACAGATACTTGGTTTTTCTTCTTCTTGCTTGTTTTATTTCTGGGTTGATTATTTTCCAGTTTTCCTGTAGCCTGCACTTACCTTTGGCTTTCCCCTCTGTCATCTTAGTCTGTGTTTGCTGTGTGGATTGCAACTTTATTTTCAACTGTTTTGATCTATTTCCATTCATAGATGGAACTCCATACTTCTCTCNTTCCCCCCCCCCCCCAATTTGGACAAGAATGGGCAATTTGATGTATCAGGTTCTCTCTATGCTCTTTTTTTTTACACATTAGGAAGAAAGTGTTAGGAAGAAAGACTATGACTAGTCTTGGGGCAGTAGTTTTAATTGTCAAAGTCTGGAATAGCAATTTTCAGTATAAAATATGTGCCATAATATATCTATATATCTGTCTATCTCCTGAGAATCGTAATAAGCTTTAAAACTCATCACTAAAAGAACTAAGTTCTGTTTTGAACATTCATATCTGGTAAGCATAATAACTTTAACACAGGAAGCCATATGTAATCATGCTTAAGATTACATCCTATCAACTATTTCCAGCAGAAAAAAAGAGTGTAGATAGATTGTGGAGAGAAAAAAAAACATTTGGAGGTATAGCTTCCCAATGAATAAACAGAGTTTCTCAAATTCAACACTACAGTTATATTGTGGGTTGATTTGTGTGTATTGTTGTTCATAAGATATTAACCCTTGCCACTTCATTCTCTACAGATACTTTGACCTTTGCAGCCATGCTTTCATTGATTCTGATTCTGTGAAATATCTCACAAGTTTTAAGGATTCTTGAAATGCCAAAGAAAATAATTGATCTTCTTCCCGGATGTATGTGCTCAAAACTGTTATACAGAGTATATCAGTTTCTGGTTTGTCAGGGGCTGAGTGGAAAAGTCTTGCCTGGTAGAACTGTGTAGAATATTATACTTGAATGCATACTGTCATTGATCTGGAGTTATAGTAAAGTAAGCATAATCACATATAAAAAACATCAATATATATATTTTTTGAAGTCTCGGTCCAATATTTGTAATTTGTCTTATTTTGAATGTTTCTGCTTTTACATGTCATGGGGATTACAAGCAACTACGGTAGACCAATGGGCTAGTTGTGCAGGAGGTGTGTCATTTCTGAGCTATCTCTCAGTCAGGTTGGGGATTACAAACAACTACGGTAGACCAATGGGCTAGCTGTGCAGGAGGTGTGTGACAATGACATAGTGTCATTTCTGAGCTATCTCTCAGTCAGGGTAATCTGAATTGTCATTTCAGGAAGCTATTTAGCCTTTGGGTGTTGTTGCTTAAGGCTGGTAGAGTGGGAAATAAGGACTATCCTGGATGAAGTTATTAATGAAGCTGAATTGCCTCACCAAGGCATGGATGGACAAATTTGGTGACTGCTGATGGGAAGCCAACTTGTGTCAGCTTTGTCTGACCAGGTGCTCTTTGAAACATCTGTGTGGATTTGAGGATCAGGTCTCTCAGTTCCAGTGTATCATCCTAACAGACCCAATTTCTCTTGTAATTGTAACCCTCAGTCTAATAGGATTCCATCTCAGTTTATGGTCAGATGGTGAGAGAAGTGTGTTTTTGGTCACACTGGAAAGGCTTGTTTTGCCAGGAGTGATATTCCTTAAAGCACCCTTACCATCCATCATGGAATTGCTCCAACCCAGTCCTAAAAAAGTAGTAGCTCTACTGCTGGACCAAAAGCTTTCAGCTGGGACATAGATTGGGGCTGAGCTGTAGTGCTTATTCCCCATAAATTGTGTGATTCCCAGGAAACAGCTCTCACTGGACCGTGCCACAAGTGGTCCAAAATGTGAGATATATGTCTGTGTGATCTCACCCTCAGTCTCCAGCTTCACTGTGTATCAGACTCCCAACTTTGTGCCAGTTAGGAGTTTTGCTAGGGAGGTTTAAGCTTAGCAAGGGAGCTGTTTACCTTCAGGGGTGTGGGATGTCAGAATAAACTGCCTCCAGAAACTGATGGAGCCGGAGAGGTTCCTGACAGGCTTTGGCTGGATTCCTGTTGAAAGGGAATGCCCTGTCTAGGCCAGCCCTTACCATGGAGCACCGTGGTTGTCCAGACATCGTTACAGCACAGCGGCCAACTGCTGACTCAGACTGATAGGTGCTGCATTGCAACAACACCTGGACTGCACACGTTGCTTATCCCCGATCTAGGTGATAAGGAAATGTTCAAATGCTTCAGCCATCAGTCTTTTTCTGATAAGAAGAACAAGCCAGATGCCATCGTATTTTTAAAGTTTGGGCCAATGAAGATTCCAGAAAGATGGAGAGAGTTCAAACAGAATGAACTGAGCTGACTGAGCACAAACTAGGTCCTCTTTTAGAGGTTTCCTCACCACTAGTCAGTGGCAGAGAGATATATAAAGATGTCATATTTTCCCAGCACAATGCAATCCAGAGAAGCCATAGCAAGTGGTTTGATTAATAGATTTTAGCAGGACTCCAAAGGAATCTTTGCAAACCTCAGTTGGCCAATTATGCTCAATTTGCAAAGTGATGCATGGACAAAATCCCTTGCATCTACTGTATTTCAGCTTTGCTACCACCTTGGATACAATGCTGTTTACTGAATGTCACCAGAAAGTTGTCTTCTTGGGTTTGGACTGATTGATCTAAAGATCAGCCTGCTGTTGTGATAGTTATTTTATTACAATTTTAAACCCATCATTTATAAAATTTATAAATGAGATCAAATGCATTTGAGAAATTATTAGATGTTTTATTTTTAGAACATTTATAGAAGCATGCACCTTCATTTTCTAAATAATTTTCAGTTCTGGAGGGAAAAATCTATGATGACTTGTCTTCTCTGTTTAATTCTAATTAAGGCAACTAATTTGGGCGTAACAATGCATTATGCTACTTCATCAAAGTAATTGTAGATAACTTCTTCAGCATAACATATTAATGTTTCAGTAGGATCACGTTATGCTACTCTATTGGTATATTTTTAGAATAGATTAGAAAGAATGGTTGTGTTCAAAGCCACATTTTATATTGCCATACTTTTCTCTTTTGCATCTCTTATATCTGCTCTACATATACAGAAATAATTTATTTTGTACAGTCATCTTTTTGATTTTGGATCACTTACATACCTCAGTCTGCCATATATAGAAATAACTAGCCCCCCCGTTTGACCTAACATTTGGCATTCGTTATGCTATATACAGTGGTGCCTTGCTTAACGGGCGCTCTGTTTAGCAATGAAATCGCTTAACAATGACTTTTTCAGAGCATTTTTGCACTTCGTTTAGCAATGGTCCCTATGGGCGATTTTCACTTAGCGATGGATGGGACCATGTTTCGCATAGCGATTAAATTTCGGGTCCCCTGTTTCGCTTAACGATGATTTAAACAGCCTAATGTTTGCTGTTTTTTTAAATGTTTTTCTGTTATTTATAAAGTTAAAGTGTACTGTTTAAAATGTTTGAAATCATAAAGTGCACTTAATAAACCCTTTGTTAACCAAATTTGACTTTGTTCTAATTCTTTTTTAATTTGTTGTTGTATTTTTCCCCCCATTGAGATGCATTGAATAGGTTTTAATGCATTTCAATTGGGGAATCGCGTTTCGCTTAGCGATGTTTCCTATGGTGATTTTCGCTTAAGGATGGCAATTCGTTCCTATTGGAATGGATTATCCAGTTTTCAATGCATTTCAATGGGAAACCGCATTTCGCTTAGCGATGAAATCGCTTAGCAGTGATTTTTCGGGACAAATTAACATCGCTAAGCAACGCGCCACTGTATTTTGTACAGTTCTGATCTCTTTTGGCTTTCAGGGCTCATGCACATAGACCTCTACTTCTGCCTCTGCCATGTCCTTCCTCTGGTGTCTCTGGAGGGACTGGTCCCTGCTATGCTTTTTGAGTCACTGTTCCAGAAAGATTGCTCTGTTGTTGCAGAGGTGAGATGCTTGGGCTCTAGAATACAACTGCTGGTACTGCTGTTTGGGGTGCAATGAAGTTTGCTGGTTTCTTCTTTCTCTGAGTGACACCTCAGGTCTCTTTCACTAGCTACTGCTGCATGTGATCGGCAGTTGGCTGGTATTGCCCCGCTCCACTACTTAATATCCATTTCTTGCTGTTTAATTTGAGAGTTCAAGAGTATTGCTAGAATGTACTCCTCCTCCTTCCACAAGGAAGCAAACCTGTAGTGGAGCAGGTCCATAAGCTTGCAGGCCAGGGCCACCACTTTAGGCCAGAAAATGCTCTTCTCCCTTTATGGAATCCCCGTGCACCTAGACTATCCCCTTTATGTCCTCCATCATGCCAACCAAATGCTGGAATATTGGGATAACCTGGCTAATGGCCGTCTCCCCACTTAGAAGCGGTCTTGCACTCTCAAAGTTCCAGAAGACACGCTTGTCCCCTAATGTCCCATTCTTCTCTGCCCAGAGAAGAGAAGACACACTTGTCCCCTAATGTCCTATTCTTCTCTGCCCAGAGAAGTAGCCACACCAATGGATGTCTCCAGTGTCAAATTATGAAGTGCCCTTTGCTGCTCTAACACTCTTTTAAGCAGGTGGAAATCTGAGTACCATTGAGGTGCCACATCTTGGATTAGGTGGTGCAGTGACTTGTCCCCTAATGTCCTATTCTTCTCTGCCCAGAGAAGTAGCCACACCAATGGATGTCTCCAGTGTCAAATTATGAAGTGCCCTTTGCTGCTCTAACACTCTTTTAAGCAGGTGGAAA